AGGATGATTCCAAGGTTTCTGGAGTTAAAAGATCCCTTTCGGGACTGGGGTTGTGGCTCAGTGGTAGAGCACTTGCCTAGCATGTGTGAGGCCCTGGTTTCGATCCTCAGCACCACATAAAAATAAGTAAATCAAATAAGATATTGTGTCCATCTACAACTAAAAATTTTTTAAAAAAGATCCCTTTCTAAAAATTAAAGCTGTAAAAATGTTAACAATTTTTTGACTCATTAATTTCACTTTTAAGAATGTGATTCAAGCAAAATGACTATAAAACTTTTGTAGTGTTGGTTCAAAGATATTTAACCCTAGTGTTATTTATTATAGGAAAAACAGAAACAATCTAAATGTCTCAACACAGGAATTCAAAAGCAATTTTGAAAAATACATCAGTCGAGGGGCTGGGGTTGTGGCTCAGTGGTAGAATGCTTGCCTGGCACGTGTGAGGCACTGGGTTTGATTTTCAGCACCYCATATAAATAAATAAAATAAAGGTCTATTGACAACTAAAAAATATTTTTTTAAAAAAGAAGAAATAAGATAATATTTTTTAAAAAGAACAATACATCAATTGGGGCTGGGGTTGTGACTCAGTGGTAGAGTGCTTGCCTGGCATGTGTGAGGCACTGGGTTGGATTCTCAGCACCATATATAAACAAATTAAAAAATAAAGATCCATTGACAACTAAAAAATACTTTAAAAAATACATCAATTGGATGTAAATGTTATATAGCCTTTAAAAAAATAAGAAATCCATGCCCTGTAGAAAATTGTGTACATGTAAATTACCACAATACAGAGTTAGAGATAAGGAACCCTAGTAAAGAGGCAAGGTTTGCCAGTTGTGGTGGCACACTGCTCTAATCCCAGCAACTCCACAGGCTGGGGCAGAAAGATTACAACAAGTTCAAGGCCAGCCTTAGCAATTTAGTGAGACTCTGTCTCAAAAAATAAAAAGGCTGAGGATATAGGTCAGTGCAAGCCAACTCTGAGTTCAGTCCCTAGTGCTATAAAGGAAAAAAAAAAAGGCAAATATGGCAATGACACTGGAGATTTTAATGGATATAAGAGATTTGGCAGTGATTTGAATGGATGGGTTTAAGGGCATCCATTCACTTCTGGATTTGGTGAGAAAGCCATAATAGTAGTTAATGTATTGCTTACAAAAACTCTTTTTCACATCTATTAGTTTACATGGTTCAACAACCATTTTCCAGGTAAGAACACAGAGGCTCAAAGAGGTTAATCCAGTGTGGTTCTTAGTTCTAGTTGCCCATTAAATATTTGGGAAATACTAAGAATACTAAGGCTTGGGCTTTACCCTCACTGGTTGTTCTGAGACTCCAGTGTTCCATGTTTTTAAAATGCTCTCCAGATGGTTCTAACATAGCCAACACTGGGAATCATAGAATTAAATGTTTACCAATGTTTTACAGAGGCAAAACTAGGCATGGTGGTGCATGCTTGTAATCCCAGCAACTTGAGAGGCTGGGGCAGGAGTTTTTAAAGTTCCAGGCCTCCTGAGCAACTTAATAAGATCCTACCTCAAAATAAAAAGGGTTGGGGTATAGCTCAGTGGTAGAGCACCCCTGGGTTTAATTCCCAGTACTAGGTGGTGGTGGTGGTGGTGGTGGTGGTGGTGGTTGGCAGAGATAGAACTTGAAACCTGTATCTGAGCCACATGTTTCCCTTCTTCTTTTTTCCTCTCATTTTCTTTCCATATTGCATCTCTTACTTTGCGTCTGGTATTTCATTCCAGACACAGTCATAGACCCCTGTACTGGAAGCGATGGTGGTGTTGGTCTTAGTACCCAGTCTAATTTTTACACTGTTTTATTTTTCTCTATTCAGTTTCTGGGGGAACTAGGAACAGGTAGAAATCACTTCCCTGGGCATTTACATATGTTAATTCTTGGGTTTTTTTTGTTGTTGTTTGTTTTGGTTTTTGCTATCTCCATATCCCATTGTCCCAATTTCTCATCCTTGAGTTTCAGTTGAGACATTCTCAGGAAGCCTGTATCAGTTTTATAGGCTACAAAAATGAATTCTGGCCTAATTCTGTGTTTGTGTTTTAAAGGAGTGTTTTTGAAGAATGGAGGGTAGCTCACTGAATTGAACACAATAAAAGGAAAGGCTAAATACTGACCAAAGTTCAAGATTGTGGGCAGCGTTGGGGAACCCAGGAATAGGATCGGAAGGTCCTCTCTCTAGAGCCTTTAGGCCCCTTAGCTTCAGTTACTTTTTGTACTTGTCTCTGCCCAGAATTCAGATATCTCTACAGTGTGTGGCAAGGGGCAAGAATCCTGTGATTATTGTCTCACAAGAACCCCACCAAATTAAGGAGGAGGAATTCCTTAAAACTAGTCCTTAAAGAAAGAGAAAAATTTCCTCTAAGAAGATACCATGACTTAAATCAGATTCTGGATGTTCTCCTAACACCAAATGGCCCACTTTTTGGATATATGTTATTAAATACATCAATGGATGGACTATTGTGTGTACCCAAGTAGGACTTGCACCTTGGTAAGTATGCCTTCTACCACTGAGGCATATCCCCATCCCCAAGCTACCCACACACACGCTTTTTTTTGTACCAGGGATTAAACCACTGAGTGCTTAACCACTGAGCCACATTCCCAGCCCCCCTCCCTTTTTTTTGAGATAGGGTCTCACTAGGGTGCTTAAAGTCTCATTAAATTGCTGAGGCTGGCTTCAAACATGCAGTCCTCATGCCTCAACCTCCTGAGCTGCTGGAATTACAGGTGTGTGCTACTTCTCCCAGTTCCTGAGCTACTCATTGAAAGGCCCTTTCCAGACAGGCATGGTGTTGCATGTCTGTAATCCTGGCTCAGGAGGCTGAGGTAGGAGGGTTGTGAGTTCTGAAACCAGCCTCGGCAATTTGGCGAGGTTCTAAGCAACTCGATGAAACCCTGTCTCTAAATAAAATACCAAAAAGGGGCTGTGGGGACTGGGGATATGGCTGAAGCGGTAGCAGGCTTGCCTGGCATGTGCGGGACACTGGGTTCGATCCTCAGCACCACATAAAAATAAAAAATAAAGATGTTGTGTCCACCAAAAAAAAAATATATATATATATTAAATAAATAAATTAAAAGGGGGGGGGGCTGGGGATGTGGTTCAGTGGTTAATAAGTGCCCCTGAGTTCATTCCCCAGTACCAAAAAAAAAAAAAAAAAAGCCCTTTCTGATAGCCTTCTTTACCTGCAAGTAAGTCTAGACTTCCAGAAAGTACTCCAGTACCTCTCCACCCCTATTTCTGTCACCCAGGCAAGTGCTCTACCACTGAGCTACATCCCCAGCCCCCAGTCCTATGTTATAAATGTCTTCTGCACCAAACTAAAAACTACAAAAAGCCAAAGTACAAATCTGTTCCCTAGCAAATACCTCACACATGGTCAGCTCTCAGAAAGTGTGTAATGGAATGGAATTCCAGACAGATTAAAGGAGATTGCAAGCTTTTGTTCTCCTTTTCCAAGATAGGTATCCACTATAGCACCTGTGTAAAACCTGTCACCCTATGTGCTGTTTTTACTATCTACCATTTCTACTGTCTCCCCTCTCATCTCTTTCTCTCACACCTTAGGTAATTGCTGGCTTCAACCGCCTTCGGCAGGAACAGAGAGGTCTGGCATCCAAAGCAGCTGAGCTGGAGATGGAGTTGAATGAGCACAGGTGAAAAAAACAGGGAGAAGCAAATAATAGAAAATTGAATGGGCCATCATGTGAGGGAGGGTTGCAGTAGTGTGGGTCTGAATTCTGAGGTCCTGCCTTGTCCTCTTTCCAGCCTAGTGATTGATACACTGAAAGAGGTAGATGAAACCCGTAAGTGCTACCGCATGGTTGGAGGCGTCCTGGTGGAGCGGACTGTCAAAGAGGTGCTGCCTGCCTTGGAGAATAACAAGGAACAGGTGAGTAGGAGTCCTTATGTAGTAGGTTGGGCAACAAAGGGGTAAAGAAGAAGGGAGCCTAGGGATTTAGGGAATATGGTGGCAGAAAGTCTGCATAGAAACTCATATTGAAGATGGTACAAATAGCGTACTTATTGGGCTAGGCCTTTTATCCTAAGTCTAAATCCTTAGACAAGAAGAGTTGCTGGCTTCAATTGCCCTTTCCGTGGGCTCTTTCATGTGGTTGAATTGGATGGGGGATTAGAGGATTTTTTCTCTATGGACACTTTTATCAAAATCATCTGAACAACTAGTTTAAAATGGAACTTTCAGGATCCTCTGAATCAGAGCCTTGGGGATGCTGTGACATTTTAAAAATAAGCAGCTCAGGTGATTCTTACGTATATTAAAGTCTGTAAACCACTGTGTTTGAGAAGGGGTCACTTTAATGTCTGGCTTCCACTATTAACACTCAGTTAAAGATGAGGTTAGAAGTGTCTTTCACTTCCCTTAACTATAGTTCATTCCAGATATGGCAAAGGGAGACCTAAAATTCTGATGTACTTCTTGTTGCTTGCCCTGTAGATACAGAAAATCATCGAGACACTGACACAGCAGCTTCAGGCAAAAGGAAAAGAACTGAATGAATTCCGGGAAAAGCACAACATTCGTCTCATGGGGGAAGATGAGAAACCAGCAGCCAAGGAGAACTCAGAAGGGGCTGGGGCCAAGACCAGCTCAGCTGGAGTGTTGGTCTCCTAGGGAATAAGACCTCTGCATTTTTTTCTACCCTGACTCCCACTTCTGATCTCTTTATTGTTATTATTATTATTTTCTCTGCTATTGTAAYATTTTTTTGTTAATTAAATGTTTTGGTCAGAATGCTTAGCTGTAGCTTGGAACTTTCTCCCAATTAGGGGTGGAAATTGCTTAAGGGCAAGGGACAGTGTATGATTTGTGGGTTTTGTTTCCATGGGGTTAATGGCTCACAACCTCAGAACAGACTCAAACTGTGTCCTTTCCCTTGCAAATAAAGATGTGTCTACTTATTTACTGCCCTTCAAAAAAAGAAAATATTTAGAGACAAATGTCGATTCTCAATTGAAATTTAATAAGCACTTGAAATGAGGCAGATAGCAGTGGTGATAATGCTTTATGGGTTTGCAACCAAACAGAGTCTTGGCAGTGTGTTTGACACTATTTTTTAAATAAAGAGGTCCAGGATGCAAACCTGTGGATTAGCTGTCCTGCCATCCTCACCAAAACCCCCAACCAGGTAAAGCTGATCATTCCAAAGACAGGTTCGATGGCCCACACGTTTCAGCCCACGGTCTGCACAGGGGAAGTGGAACCACAGAGAAGGAGATTTGCCTGTTGGATAGGGGCAGAGGATGATTACCGAGGTAGAGATGCACTTTTTCACCCATGGGACTCTTTTTTTTTGGCCTCTTAGAAGTTTGACCCAGGAAAGCTCTACCACTGAACTACACATCCAACCCTTTTTATTTTGAGATGTGTACCATCTCACTAAGTTTACAAAGCTGGCCTGGAACTTGGGATCCTTTTGTCTCAGCCTCCTGAGTAGGTAGGATTATAGGCATGCCCCACSATGCCCCGCCATGCCCCATAGGATTCAACACAACCAAGTGTTTGTCCATAATTTTTTTTTTTCCTCACTCGATTTGTGGGCCTCTTCAATAGACCCACAAATATTCTGTGTACTCCTTGTAAAGGAATTCCTCCTCCCTACCCCATACTTGTTTTTGTTTGGTACCAGAGATTGAATCCAGGGRCACTAAGCCACATTCCAGCCCCTTTTTTTTCATTTATTTTTTTTGGTAGCAGGGATTGAACCAAGGGGCACTCAACCACTGGGGCACATCCCCAAACCATTTTTTGTATTTTATTTACAGGCAGGTCTCACTGAGTTGCTTAGAGCCTCGCTAAGTTGCTGGGGCTGGCTTTGAACTCGAAATCCTCCTGCCTCAGCCTCCTGAGCCGCTGGGATTACAGGCATGCCACTGGCCCTCCATACTCTTTATAGTATTTAGATTCTCCTCTCTTCCCACCTCCCCTCACTTCCCTTCAGCCATTAGTTTGACTCTCACGGGTATCATAGATGTAGAGGTCGTTGCAGATGGTGTCTCTAGCTCTGGTCAGACTTTCTCCACCAAACAGCACAGCAAAAGGCCCCACCACAGAACATGAGTGATGACGCAGTCCCCGGGGTCCTTGCCGGGACCCCTGCCCCTTGCTCACAAGCCTTGCAAGCTGTTCCATCAAACGAGGGGCAATAGGAGGTTCCTCCTTGGGGGAGAAAGAAAGGACTGTCTGTAGGGTTTGGGGCCTCACAATTTTAACCCCCTTAGTATGATGTGAGCAGATAATACCTTAATCTTCCCTTGACTCCATTGCCCAGCTATTTCTGGTTCAGCGGAGTTGCAACCCCCAAAGAGCAATAACTGATGACCAGGGTGGGGCCCAGGAGTTTGGAGCAGGGCAGCACAGTGACCTGAGCGGGAAGCTGTGTGGTAGTCTTCTTTGTAGCTGTGGATATGCAGAAATTCAGCTCTGAGTGGAGTTTTCGGGAAATGTAAATTTACTGCCTTTTCCCCACTACCCCTTGCCGAGGACAGAGAGGATGCCTGGGTAGATCGCAGGGAAAGCAATGTTATAGAGGGTTCAGCTATTTTAGATAGAGGAAAGAGGGTGGTGGGGCGAGGATATGGATTATTTGCCTGAAAAGTTTTATTTTTGCTTTCCCAAAGTGTAATGAAAGGTTTTGGGCAGGGGATACCATACCAATAGGTGCGGGCACTCGGGTCCAGAGTTAAGGTGTAGATGCTTCCATATCGTCGCTGAGTGCGGGTACCACCCTCTCGGCCAGCCACCCTCAGCTCCCGATCGGAAAGGCGAGTGCAGGTGTGACTACTGAGGCCAGCAGGAGGGCAGTTGTCAGGGGTCGCAGTCCACGCTTCCCACACTCCATGCTCTGTGTCCAGCACCTTCACTGTGTCCTGGCGTCGCGACCCGTCCCAGCCGCCCACCACGCAGAGCCAACGCCCGCCCACGTTTGCCGCGTCGTGGTGACTGAGCAGGGGGCTGTCCCTGGCTTCCAGCCGCACAGCCTGGCCCTCAGTTGGGTCGAAGACCACCGTATCACTGCTGGGCTTTCTCGCTCCACCTGTTAGAAGACCCCCCACCAGATAGAACCGTCCCCGCAGTTCGGTGCACGAATGGAAGGCCCGAGCCAGAAGCGCGTCTCGAGCCACCGGCCGCCAGCTCCAGCCCGAGACCCCCACCCGACTYGGGGGCATCGCCACCGCCATGGGTGCCGAGAAAGCAGCGGGGTCTGCGTCCCGTACCGCACCCCTACACGCGAGGCCAGGCACTTTTCCTTCCGTGAGCCACCCTGGGAACCTTCCCTCTAGGACACCGGCCCAGGTCCCCCACCTCAAGTCGGTGCCTCCTCTCCGCGGTCGCTTAGCAACCACTGCAGTGGCTGCAGCGCGACCGCTGCAAACTGAAGGTCGCAAAGCGCCGGTTACCATGGAGACAGGAGACCTGGGGCGCTACCAGGAGTGATAACGGTTGTATCGCTCAGGCGACAGCAGATGTGCTTTGTCAATCATAATCCTGAAAGATTGTTAACCTCAGAAAGTCGAGGAGTATCCAGCTCCTCAGAAGAATCCCTGTTAGCTGACTTGACACCTGAGGTTCAGGTGAAGCGCCACCGGGACGGGGAGGGACTGGGTCCTTTTGGCTTCAATGTTTCCAACTTGGATTGATTTCCTAGGGATGAGGCAGGAAGCACTAACGTGTCAGAGGGTGAGGAAGTGAAAGTGGACTGAGCCCTGGCCTGGGAGTCACGAGATTGGGTAGTCCCAGATATTCCCAACTCTCTAGGTCCCTTCAGCTTTCTCATTTATGAAATGAGATGTTGATTTCTCTCAGGTGTTTTCTAGACCATTCGGTGGTAAAGGCCTTGAAGGTGCGAGAGTCCTCTAAGCTCTGGCCACTAGAGGGTAGTAGAACCCAAGTCTGTCAGGGTCCAATGGTGGGGATGGAGGGAATGGTGTGYGTGTGTGTGTGTGTGTGTGTGTGTGTGTGTGTGTKTGTGTAGGTAGACGTGTGCTTGGTTTAGTTGGGGTCTGGGAGGGAAAATCCCTGAGGGATACTTGAGGCTTAGACGAGTTTTAACTACAGAGTCCTGGGAAGAATATCTTTTTATTTCATTTTTTCTCATCAGACCCCAACAGTTTACTGAAACGCAGGCACTGTGCATTTGGAACTCAGGATTAAGGGCAGGGAGTTTCTCCTGATAAGATCCAGGGCAGAGGAAGCTGCCCAGCCTTAGAAGATGGGTGGGGGTGAAGTCGAGGAGGAGTGAGAAAAACACATTCCTGCCCCTCCCTCATATCTTCCTTTTATTCAAGGCAGGTTCCTGAACTTCTTAACTCTGTCCCTGCAGGACCCAGTGAAGAATGAAGAGGCCCAGATCTAAACGGACTAGTTTCAGCTGTGGGAGAAAATGCAGACATATTTCGTAGCCCAGCTGGTGTGGATAGAAATAGGATCTGTTTCTGCCCCAGGGTTGAGCTGTAAGTGGAAATGACGGCTTCTACTTTTGCCTTTGGTTTCTACCCATCAACTTGCTTCCCACTATGCCAGAGAAACTGAGGTCATAGAGAGTGGCAAGGCACTAGGACAAGGTGGCACACATCTGTSATATCAGCAACTCGGGAAGCTGAGGCAGGAGGATCTCAAGTTCTAGGCCAGCCTGGGCAACTTAGTGAGATCCTGTCTCAAAATAAAAATTAAAAGAACTGAGGATGTAGCTCAGTGGTAAAGGATCCCTGGGTTCAATCCCTAGTACTACAAAAACAAACTAGAGAGAGAGAGATATATATACACCAAGGCTTCAGTGGGGGTGGACATATAATTCAGGGGGCTGACAGTATAGCAGGGCTTTTYCCCTCCTGATTCCAACTCTTGGTCCTCAGAGAAAACAGCATAGAGAGGGTATGGGTAGGAAGGCACAGACTAGAAGATTATCAGGATGGGTTTCYCACCTGATCAGAAAGCTAAGATTCAGCAATCTCAAGAGTTGCTGCCCAGCCAACTATAGCTTTCCCTATGCCTGTCAGGCAAGATTCTCAGTTTTCCAAGATCATGCTAAAAATCTCTTTAAAAAGCAACAAGGCTGGGCAAGGTGGTACATATCTGTAATCCTAGGGAGGCTGAGGCAGGAGGATCACAAGTTCAAGGCTGGCCTTGGCAACTTAGTGAGGCTCTAAGCAACTTGGTGAGAACCTGCCTCAAAATAGAAAGTGGTGCTGAGGATATAGCTCAGTGGTAAAGCATTCCTGGGTTAAATACCCAGGACACACACACACACACACACACACACACATATGTATATGTATATATATATATACACGCATACACACATACATGTACACACACACACACACACACACACACATACACACACACACCTGGCATTATGGTGTAACCCTGTAATCCCAGCTACTCAGGCAGGAAGATTGCAAAATAAGTTTGAGGCCAGCCTGGGCAACCTAGTGAGACCCTGTCTCAAATTAAAAAAAAAAAAAAAAAAAAAAGACTGACAATAGAGCTCAGAGGTAGAGCACTTGCATAGCATGCATGAGGCCCTAGGGATTTGATCCCTAGCATAGCCAAAAAAAATAAAATAAAATAAAATAAAAAACAAGACAAAACCACAAAACCAAAAAAAAACCCAACAACTAAGCCACATAAAATTAATTTCTAATGTCCTTTGCTGAAATCTGAAAGCCAGCCTTCTCTCTAAGGCTTCTGTCTTACCTCCCAACAGGTAGAATCAGAATTGACACACTTCTAAAATTAGGCTAGGAACTGGGAGGTGGGGTCACTTTGCCAAAACTTTATTGGCCTACATGTCCATTTTATGCTCTTGCTTGTGCCTGTTTTGTTCTGCCAGAATGTTATTTTCTGCCTCTTCTAGAGAAAAATGGGAACTCCCCACCCCAGGGGCCTTTCCAGCTTCTCTCTTCCAGCTTTGTGTTTCTGGCTCCAACTTTGAGCCTTAGCATTGGCATTTCACTTGGTTGGACATGGAGCCTGAACCACACCCTCCTTGACCATACCTTGTCCAGTTCTCTACCTCCTCCAGTTCCACCTGGTGTGATAGGTAGTCTGTTCATTGCTTTGCCAACTCCAGACTCGGGGAGAGAAACTTTCCAGAACTTCTACTTCCTCTGCTTAGACTGAACCAAGCTCATATTTTGGAGGAGACAGGAAAGAAAACAGGAGGTAGGGAAGAGGGGAGAGGGAGAGGAAAAACAACCAACAAACACTTAGCATGATATTTTCAGTTCCATTCATTTACCTGCAAATGCCATAATTTCATTCTTCTTTAAGACTGAGTAATAGTCCATTGTGATATATACCACTTTTTCTTTCTTTCTTTACTTTTTTAAAAGGTATTTGTGTCTCTCTCTTTTTTTTTAAATATTTATTTTTCAGTTTTTGGCGGATACAACATCTTTGTTTGTATGTGGTGCTGAGGATCGAACCCAGGCYGCATGCATGCCAGGCGAGCACGCTACCACTTGAGCCACATCCCCAGCCCCCACTTTTTCTTTATTCATTCATCTGTTGAAGGGCATCTAGTTTGCTTCAATAGTTTAGCTATGAGAAATCGAACTGCTGTAAACATTAATGTGGCTGCATCACCATAGTATGCTGACTTTAAGTCCTTTAGTATAAACTGAGGAGTAGGATAGCTGGGTCAAATGGTGGTTCCATTCCAAGTTTTTCTGAGGTATCTCCATACTGCTTTCTCCATACAATTTGCAGTCCCACCAGCAATGTATGAGTGCATCTTTTTCTTCCACATCCTCATCAACACTTATTGCTTGCATTCTTGGTAACTGCCTTTCTGATTAGAGTGAGATGAAATCTTAGAGTAGGTTTGGTTTGCATTTCTCTAATTCCTAGAGATGAACATTATTTCATGTTTGTTGATCCACTCTATTTCTTCTTCTGTGAAGTGTCTGTTCAGTTTCTTAGCCTATTTATTGATTGGGTTATTTGTATTTTTGGTGTTCCGTTTTTTGAATTCTTTATATAACCTGGAGATTAGTCTTCATCTGAGGTACATGTGGTCAAGATTTTCTCCCATTCTGTAAGTTCTTTCTTCACATTATTGATTGTTTCCTTTGCTGAAAAGAAGCTCTTTAGCTTGAATCCATCCCATTTATTGATTCTTGATTTTACTTCTTGTGCTTTAGGGGATCATTGTTGAGTGGTGGGAACTAAGGGCACAAGAGGGAAGTACCTAAGTGATCCCACCTGTGGGAAGTAGGCATTCAGAAATTTCTCTTCAGGTCTTACTCTGTTTCAGATTTTGTCTCAGCCACTTTAGATATCTTTACATATCTCCTCTTCAATAACACCAAGTGTGTTTGTGATTCATCTTTTTATTTTAATTAGTTGTTTTGGTYCTGGGAATTGAAGCCAGGGGCAYTCTACCATTGAGCTACATCCCCAGTCCTTTTTATTTTGAGACAGGGTCTTGCTAAATTGCCCAGACTAGCCTCTTCCTGCTTTAACCTCCTGAGGTGCTGGGATTACAGGCATGTGCCACCATATCCAGCTTTTTTTTTTCTTTTATTTTTTCAATGTATCTTTCTAAATTTCCTTCTGTCTCTCACTGTTTGAATTTATGTGTTTCTCTCTCTGGGATGCTGCACTTTTTTTCTTTGCTGAGCTGAGCCAGCCATCTGACTTTCCTAGAGAAGTTTTGGAACTTTCCAGAAATGGCCAGACTTCCTTCTGTCTGCATACTAGAATTGTATCACCACCTTGAGGGCCCCTGGGCATTGTCATAGGCTTTGATTACTGATGAAGATTTGAGTGAGTGGGACCTCAATAGGTGGGAATTTTACAGAGACTAGGATTTCACCATAGAACACCTTAGTGGGTGGAGTCCTGAACCCAAGGAGGGAAACAGACTAGCAAGGATTCCCAGACCTTTTTATTTTTTTTTATTTTGAGACAGGGTCTCTATAAGTTGCCTAGGCTAGCCTCAAACTTGTAATCCTCCTGCCTCAGCCTCCTGAGTTTTATGAATGACCAGCATGTACCATGGGACCCAGGTCATTGTCTCTTTCTTGACCCACAGCCCCATATTCTGCTTTGCAGCTGTCATATTTTCCTGGTGCCTGGTCCAAGGGTGATGTTTGATTGTAGGGTCTCTGATGTGTTCCCCCAAGGAAGCTGAGATTTCTTTTGTTTTTCTTTCTTTTTGTTTTGTTTTTAAACTGGGCATTAAACCCAAGAGTGCTTTTACCACTGAGCCACATCTCATGCTTATTTTCTATTTTTTATTTTGGGACAGGGTCTCACTAAGTTGCTTAGGGCTTTGCTAAGTTGCTGAGATTAACTTTGAACT